CCCCCCCCTTTCTCCCCCCCGCCCCCCTGTGTGTGCTCGCCATCCGTGGTATTCAGTATGCACTCCCCCACCCCCGGGCCGCGGGGCCCCCCCCCCACTTTGATACCACACTAAGAGCTTGTCTTTCCAGGCACGGAGAGCTGAATGTTCCAGATGTGTCCCTTACTGTCTGTGCAGCGTTCAGCAACTCACTTCACTTCACGGGGCCTTGGCGTCCTCATGTGCAAAATGCTGAGAATGCCCGTCTTGGAGAATTTCTGTAAGGATTAAATGTAAAACACCTGACACAGGTGCTCAGTAAGTATCTGATGAACGGGCGGCTGTGCATGCATGAGAGCACGGACAAGGTGCATGGGGATATAACGGATGCGTGCGTACGTGTATAGGTAGATGGATGTTGGGGAGGAAACAATAGTTGTCTGCAGTCTGATTCCCATCTGGGTCCACATCCTCTCTGCCAAACTTAACAACAAGAAAACGAAGGCCCACCACTCTCTGATTTATCGGCTAGAGAAACCTGTATCTCCGTGTATCAGGTTGACAAATTATACGTAAGATCCTCCTGACGAGCCACACTGTGGGACCCAGTCGTTTTCTGAAGGGTGTAGAGAGCCATGTCAGAACAGGGAACATCCTCCGGAGACGTTCTCCATCGCGCCAGTACCCTGTGTGGTCCCGCCAGGCCCATATCCCATTCCTCAAAGGCTCAACTCCACCCAAGCCCTACCCCAGGGAAGCGGGGTCGGGGGCTGGGGAGAGGGAGAGGAGGCCAGACAAAGCAGGGCAAGGGAACAGGCCAAGACGGTGGAGCAGAGGACGCCAAGAACGTGTGGGACGTGTGGGAGGGGGTGAGCAGGAATCAGAGAGAAGGGGCTGAAAGAGCAGAGAGAAGGGTTTATTGTCTTTGGAGGAACCGAGAAAGGAAACGGCCCTGAGAGAACAAGGGAGTGGACACAAAATGGGCTGAGCAACAAAGAAAAGCCATCGCCTGCTCCATCACCCCCAATGGCGCCCCGCTGTCCTCCGGAGTCCAAACTCCCTACCAGGCCTGGAGGCATCCAGGATGCCCTTCCACCACGAGCTCTGGGCTCAGCTGAGGAGGCCTCCTCGCTCCCTCTCCTCCGCCCCATCCCCCTTCCTTCTGCAGAATGTCCAAACATCGCTCATCTCCGGAAGCCCTTGGACGTGTCCACCCCTGTGGCCTCGGACGGAGCTGTATTGGCTGGTTGGTGGGAGCGGCATAAACAGAGAAAGCTGAGCCCCAGCAGAGTGGGGAGGGAGACAAGGCTCCGGGGCAGGGGGTGGGGGGGCGGTGGAAAAGGGAGCTTCCAGTTTCTCTCTTCCCCACCTGTCCCCACGGCCCAGCCATGGCGTTACACAATCTTGTGGTCACTGCAGAATGCCCTGTCCATTTTTAAGAGGGCTGAGGTGGCACTGAAGGAGGGGACCAGGCCGCATGCCCAGGACGACAGGGAACAAGGAGGGTGGACCAAGGGAAGGGAGGAGCTTCAGCTCTGCCCAGCCCCAGGGGTCGGGGCTCGTGGGGTAGAGGTAGAGCCCCAGAGAGTGAGAAATGGGACAGACCCCATAAGAGTGGTATCTGGTCACCATCCATCTTGCCCTGAGGGACATGGGCAGAAGCGGGACCCCCCTCACAGCCTAGAGCCAGGCTGCCCCTCTGCAAGCTGCCCACAGCCTCAGAGGTCCCTTCGGGCTGGGAAACCTGAGGAGATGGGGCAGCTCAGGACGGACTCTCAGAATAGAAGCGCCTGGACGCCTTGGCAGCCCGCCTCCAGGGGCATCTAGATTGGGGAAGGGGGCCTTCCCCACCGGTCTGTGGAGCAGAGGAAAAGAGTGTGAGGCTCCAGGCCCCAGCCCTCGCCACGTCTCACCTCTACATTCCTGGGCCCTCCCAAGAAGCACAGGAGATACACGATGCAGGTGGAGGAGGGAAACCGAGGCACAGAGCTGTCTTCTAGATCTGGAGACCTGCTCTGCCCACTCAGCCACCTACATCATCCTTGAAAATTTACTACCACGCTTCTCCCAAGCACATGGGGTTCCAGACTGTACTGCTCCTGGGCCCCCTTCCACCCTGGGAACACACACTTTCCAGAAGTGGCCTGCCACAGTCCCCAAAGTTGGGCTGTGAAAAGAAGGCAGGCCTGCCTTTTCTTAAACCCCGAGCTGGAAGCGAGTTCCAACTCTGGTCCCGAGGCCGCCTGGGCTCAGCCCTGAGCTCCACCGCTTGGTAGCATTGTGACCTTGGGGAAGTCACCTTGCCCCTCAATGCCACGGTCTCCTCATATGAGTGGGGGATAACGCTCCCTGCTCCTGTACCTCACACTTGGTGAGAAAAGCAAATGTATTCATTTGGCTCCTCAAGGGGCCGAATGGTCCCGGCCCCTCCACTCAGGACACACCCACCACCCCGATCACTAGGCCCCCTTTCCTCCCCACCAGGGGCCCAGTGGCTCGGGCCCTGGCAGGGGGTGCTGAGGAACTGAGGAGCCACTGCTATTGATAGAGCTGGTGCCAGGCCCATGGCGGGCACAGAGCCCAGGCATACAATGGGGCTGTGTGTACACCCAGCATTACCCTGGAGCAGAGCTGGGCAGGCCGGCATCTGGGGTCAGGCCAGGAATTCATTTCCCTGGAGAGGGCCTCCCCATCCCTCCCAGGCGGCACAGCCCCGCTGGGGGCTGCGTAGGAAGGCAGGCACCACCCACGCCCTCAGTGAGCCCAGGCAGTGGAATGGGGTCGTGCCCAGTGCCGGGCACTGGGGAACAGGGACTCCTAGATCCAGCTGCCCCACTGGGCTGCTCACTCAGGAGGCATCTGGGACCCATTATGTAACTGGGGGCTGTGGCCTCCCCTGTGGGCAAAGGGAAGGTAGTCTGCGGGGCCAGGAGAAGGTGCAAGAAAAATCTGCTGCTACCTCTCCCCAGACAGAGGGCCTCAATCCCAACACCACACCTCCCCACGTCCCCGCCACCAGCTTGCTGGGGCCCTGGGCTCAGCACCAAGGCCCCGGGTGCCCCAGGGGAGAGAAGCCGGGCTCACTCCCCAGGGGCATGAGTCACCAGCAGGGCTGCAGCTGGGATGGCAGAGCCGGTGGGCAGGTGGGGCCTCTCCCCTCCCCTCCCTGGCAGGTCTTCTCAAGCTGGAAAACCACTGGGCTGGTAACGGGGTAATGACCACAGCATCCCGGCCTGGGCCTCTGCAGGCTACTTCCTCCGGCTTAGGGGATTACGTAGTGCCAGGAATCGAGGCCTAGATGCCCTCCTGGTCCCCACACCGACTCCTATAGCTGCGGGTATGGACCAACTCCCGAAAACCCCCTGAGAGGGGTGTCAGACTGCAGATCGAGGCAGTCCCTTA